ATATTCAGTAGAACCCACCATCAAGTATATCACTAACATTAACAATGCAGAGTTCTTTCTCCCTTTTGTCTCAGGAAAAAGAATCATGAACCCTGCTTTATTGCAATGCGGACAGATTTTTTTTGCAAACCTTTAAAATTCATGAATATTAATAAAAAGAAATAAAATAAAAAAAATTGCCATTGCTTTAAAAAAAAAAAGACCCCTCACAGGTGTGACAAGCTATGGCCAAGTTGCCCACGTGTCCCTTTTACTACAAGAGAAACAATTTAGGAATACAATAATTTTTTCTGTTAATTTGCCTACCTTTTTAGCTAGTTATAATTAACCCTTAGGTGCTGTAGGGATGTTAAGTGGTGGGATCTTAGGTTAGGGAATGTAGGTGGTGATTGTTATCCAGAGTAAAATCTGTTCCGTGTGTCTGAGTGTCTAGAACTGATCTGTGTCTGGATTCTATTAGAGATGAATATTTCTCATAATCAGATATCACTTAACACCACAGACTTCATTGAGCGAATTGCTATTCTATTAGTGAGATATACCTGTCTTGTATCAGTCTCCAGCCCCAGGAGACCTCTCAATTACACCGACCAGAAACGGTTATATGGTTTCTCCCTTTAGCACCGAAAAATGACATCAATTTGAAAACATTCCGACTTATTTTAAATACCCAAGGAGGCTCTATCACTGCCATTAATCACTGATAACCAAACCGGAGATGCATTCCATCATTGGCTGATAATCCCAACTTTGTTTCTTCTAATGGGCATTTTTGAACATTTTTTTGTTACACTCATCTGTATGTTTAATAGACAATAGACTAATATATTGTTGTATATTATCCCACAATGGAAAACTGTCATTTGTATAAGAGGGTGAAAAAAAGAATATTTTTATTTCAAAAATGTTATCTTGTTTGTTTAATCCTGGCTAATTTATTGAATACATATTACGTGTTACCTTTAGAGCAATTGAAAATCTATAAAATACACTGTTAAAATGCCAATGAGGACCTCATTTCTCTCTTATATGCAAGTTTATTTGCACATGTATAAATAGAAATTGTTTTGTTTTTTGTTTTTATAACTGTCTTTTATTGTAATTTTAAATCTGCTGTAATTTATGTCTGCTTGAAAATGTCCATCATGGTGTCCTAATACTGATACAGTATGTGCCTTTAACTTTTTTTAAGGTGTTTTTGTGACATGGGATACGTTTGAACATATATAATGGGACATAAACATGTCTAAATGGAGATCTTCCCTCTTTTTACTAAGCATTTAAATTGTTTTTTGTGGTTTTTTTTATTATTTAATTTAAATTAATATAAAAACTACAATATGAGTTTTTTTTTTTTTAAATCATCTAAAATTAAATTAAAACCCAGGTTTATTACTTGTTTAGAATTATTCTGTTCTTTTTACTATATCTCTCACCCCACTGGTAGCACTATACTCTAAAACCGGACAAAATAATTATATAATATAAAAATGTAATTCTTTTACTACAGCTGATGTGCACTATGTTTCCCAAGATAACTAGTTATTGTCAGAGATTAGCCAACACCCAACTTGATTTATCATTTTAGTTAAGATTTCGAGTTAAATAAGGTGTTATTGTAACATTTTTATGTCAGATTGATCTGGCCGAGGAATACTTGCTGGATAGAATTGCGGGATAGAATTGCTGAAATAGTTATAGTGCAAATGCTTGGCCTGTGCAGTGATTCATCGTCACAACACTGACAGATTGGAGCTACATCAATTTAGTACAAGTTTATCATGCAGGGCCAACATGCAGCACATATGATTAGATATGCAAATCTCCCATTCATAACCCGCAGCTCGTCTGAGACCTTGCTTCATTAAGCAGTGAACCGAGCGTTGTGTAGTCGCCTCTGTATGGCTGCTCTCAATTTGCTGTGTAGCTCCATTCATTCTAAGTAATGAATAGACCTATTCCTGGAGAGAAACTTCTTACCCATAAGCCCCTGCAGTGCTGTAAGCAGACCCACTAAGCAATGTGTGAAGAGGTTTTCAAGGGTTTTTCTTTTTCATTATTTTTATAATGCATAAAAAAAAAAAAAACAGGGGACGGGGAGTGGGTATTTTTTGTTTAGATTTTACCCCTTAAAGGACCACTATAGTGCCAGGAAAACATACTCGTTTTTCTGGCACTATATTGCCCTGAGGGTGCCCCCACCCTCAGGGTCCCCCTCCCGCCGGGCTCTAGGGTGAGGAAGGGGTTAAACTTACCTGTTTCTTCAGCGCCGGGCGGGGAGCTCCTCTCCGCCTCCTCTCCTCTTCGGCTGAATGCGCATGCGCGGCAGGAGCTGCGCACACATTCAGCCAGTCCATAGGAAAGCATTCACAATGCTTTCCTATGGACGCTGGCGTCTTCTCACTGTGAAAATCACAGTGAGAAGCGCGGAAGCCCTCTAGCGGCTGCCAATGAGACAGCCACTAGAGGCTGGATTAACCCTAATATAAACATAGCAGTTTCTCTGAAACTGCTATGTTTATAGAAAAAAGGGTTAAACCTAGCTGGACCTGGCACCCAGACCACCTCATTAAGCTGAAGTGGTCTGGGTGCCTATAGTGGTCCTTTAATTTCTCTTTACCCACTGTAAACCACACTTCTAAATGTATTTATAGGCAAATTGTGGCACCCTTACTGAAATTCGGACATTTTAATTATTTTCTGTAAAGTGAATATTAATAAACTAAAACCACAATGTGTTCCGTTTTATCTTGTTCCAACGGCTCGCCATTCACAAAGTAGAAATTGTTATAGCTTGTGTAGTGTTGCTGAAACATTGAGCTGTGTAAGAAGTACGGATCTCTGAACAGTTGTGTTTGATTTATATGTGTAACCTAGTGACACAGTTCATTGCTTTCTTTGTTCGTTTGTTTCTGTTGTTGTAGAAGAAATTCTAGGGAGAACTTTATTTTTCAATAAATCTTTTTTTTTTTCTGGTGTGATTACTGACTCTTACTGATTTATTTTGCTTACATCCCACTGTAGCTTATATTATGTTTAGTTAAAATTAAAGAGTGAAAACAAACACTGAATTGACAAAATCCCGGGAAAATAAACAAATTCTTACCGCATTGACAATTAAAGATTTACGAAAGTCAAATGCAGTCAGGGTTTGGTAAGTCCAACCAATTCTGTATCCCCTCACGGGTGTTTAAGAGCAGCTACTCATTCTGTTTATCTTGAAGCACTTTCTAATGTTCACACTGAGCTCACTAGTGTGTTACTTTGGTTATCGCTTCTATAACATTTGTTCGGAAAATCAGTAAATTTTTCATCTGAACCATTTTACAGCACTGGAATTGGAGATGAATTGCTAACTGCATGACGTGCGATGATAAACTAAATGCATCTAGCAGGAATGCATGTTCACAAATTAATTATTATTCATGTGCTTCAAGTTAGTTGATAATTTGAAGTACAATTTGCCTGCTGACGGCACTAACAGTCAGCAGGCAAAAAGCAAAATAACCCTCAGCGACACTAGGGTTATTATGTGAGAAAAAAAAGTTAACTAAAAATTCCATGGGATGAAAAGGTCAGCAAGACTTCCATATTGCTATAATGGTGGTAATGCACCTCCTTATGCCCCCACCTGCTCAGTTACTAGAATAGGCCCCATCCTACCCTCCTCATCCTAATAATAGTGAGGGTGCGGCTAAAAGAAATCTGGAACCTGTAAAAAATAAATAATTATACCAGAAACCTTTTTTCCTCAGATTCTTCTCTTTTTCAGCCTCCAATGTTTTTTTTTTTTTTTTAAATGCCCAATTGCTGCCCTTCCCAAAAAACACCTGCCTGAGAAAATAAAACCACACCACAAGAAGAAAAATATGACTAAGTGTTCTCTGACTGATTGGTTGGCTAGTAATCCAACCAGTCAGGGCTCTCTGGCAACCAAGTCTCGCTTCAATGGCTGCACAGTTGCTAGCTTTTCATTTTTAATAGAAGATGGTTCAGGCACTCAAGGTTCAAATAAGCAGATTTATTGGCAGAGTGTACAGAAGCAACATTTCAACCCTAATGGTTTAATAATAAGAAAATCAAGCTTGAGTTTAACAAAAACTTATCTGGGTTGAAACATTGTTGCTGTACACTCTGCCAATAAATCTACTGATTTGAACCTTGCAAACATTCTTCTGCTATTCAACTGTCGCGTGAGGTGTGGCCTACCTCTGGTCCAGATGCACCTTGGTTTATCTTTCTATTTTATCTTTCATTTTTAGTAGACATCTGGCACGTGGTGGCATATAGAGGTGAATTTACTTCCATTATATTAATATGGGAGTCTTAGTGACCCCACCATAGGATTTTTATTTTTATTTTGTTTTACATTTTTAATATGGTGGCTGGTGAACAGCCACATAATTAACCCTTGCACTGCAGAGTGTTTGTAATTATTTGCCCTCTAGCTTCTAGTACTGCCTGCAGGAATATTGTTTGGAATTCTTTTAATGCAGGCCGGGAGTTGAAGCCATCAACAGTGTCCAGATTTTGCAGTTTAAATTGCGCCGTCTGAAGCCGGATGGTTTTGCTCCATTCATGACATTACCCACACTGAACACCCTTTTCTCTGTTTCTGAATAATCTTCGTACCGCTGTTTATATTCCGTCTATATTATGCCAGCCCATCACTTATCCCAGTCCAGTTCCCATGTCCAGGATTCTGCCTCTGCTTTTCTTCTCCCCTGGAATGTATTACCATGCTCTATAATATTCTCCAACCATTTCCACAGTGAGGAAAAATGTTTGCTTTGTATCCCCAAATAAATGTTATAAACTTAAACCCTTTCCTGGCAATATGGCGGGCTATGCCGTCCTACAAAGCGAGGGCTTTAACACAGTTAAACAATTATTCTCTCCATGTAGCAGCAGCAGAAACATTTACTGTTCTCACCAGATGACAACTCATGCAGTGCCCCTGCAGCCAATCCCACCTTTCCGAGTCATGTATTGCGATGACACTGCAATCATTCGAATCGATGCTATTGTCACATGTTCATCCTCACCTTGCGACAATGATAGTGTTTGCCTTGCCAATAAACACGGTAGTGCCATTCAGTGGCCATGCGTCAATATGTCTGACCCCTGCAGCATGTTGGCAGCCAGCCGCTGCGGATCCACACTAATTTATAACACCATGTCCGCCCACGGCATCAAAGATGCCGACGTGCGCGTGACGTCGTGTAAAGGACACACATGCACGTTCTGGGGTCAAAGACCTGTTTCGGCAAATTGGATTCACAAGGGGTATTTAAGTTACCTATTCCTACTGCTCATTGCCCTGTCGTGGTTTCCCTAGTGGTTGTCCGAGAGTGTGTTTCTGAGTGTTTATTTCTGGTGATTGACTTTGGCTTCGTTTGACTTCCCTGTATTCTGGTATCCTTGACTTTTGGTTTTCCCTCATCGTTGTGTCTCTTTCTGTATGCCTGACCTCTGCAAGTATACTGACTATTCTCTGGTACGTTAAGTCTGGCCATTCTAAGGCACGGTAAGACGTTACCTTTTAGTCCTAGGTGTGATACAGTTCTCCGTGCTGGATTAACCTGTAATCCTGTCAGCGATTGACCAATTTGCCTCCAGGGGAGCTGCCTGGGTTGTCAAGCAGATCCCCCAATATATAACTAATAAAATTATATACTTATACATACATAATATAATAATATATAAATATAAAATAACTGGAATTATATATATTTTTATTCTAAGTGTATTTTGATATTTATAATGTGTATATATATATATATAATTTCAATATGTGTGTGTATATATAATCATTAATTTGATTCATATATTTGATATATTATCTATATATAATTATTGTATTAATTATGTATTTGGGGGCCTGCCTGACAACACAGGCAGAATTCACAAGCACTTTATATGACCCTGTAACTTTCCAAATTCCTATAAAACGTACATGGTGGGGTAGTGTTGTACTCCTCAGACATCACAAATATGAGTGTTTTAGAGCGGTAAAACATATTATAATGTTATAATTGTGTGGAAAAATGCAAAAAACGAATCTGAACACTAACTTTTGCCAAGGTTTGTGACAAAGTGGCTTCTAAAAACAACTGGACAAACACCATTTTCAATACCCTGGGTTGTCTACTTTTGCAAATGGTATGTCATCATGAGGGGTAATTCTCATTCCTGAGCTGCTTCACAGTCTCAAAGGCAACAAAACCAATCTAGCAAATTTGAATATGTAAAAACTGAAATGGGTTCTATCTGACTCTGTCATTTTCCAAAACACCATAAAACCTGTACATGGGGGACATTGTTCCATAGAAATAGATGTGTTTTATTGCAGTAAAAGCTAATGGTGCTATGACATTTACAATTAAAATGCCCTTCAGAACTTGGAAAATAAACTTTCTTAATTAAAGATAAATTCTTGATGAAGAATTTCATTTTGACTGTGTTGGAATTTCACTGAACAAAGTAGAGAGCTTAGTTACTTCCATCTAGAAGTGTAAATCTCCACAGCCATCTACAGTGACAGCTGCAGGGAATTGGTTCTCGCATGTGCGAGAGTATAAGCAGTGACATTGGCTCCTGGTGCTGAAGACGACCCAACAAAGAACAATGGCACGAGGGACAGGTTCAGGTCAGTGGAACTTGCCTTTACCTGCCACCGGACCCCCAGTGGTGATGTCACTGACGGAGGTCTTTGCGAATTGTGCAAAGTCCCCAGATGGTGACAGTGCCGCTTAAATAAGAAAGAGGTAAATTATGGTTGAACGGACATATAACTCAAATTCTAGGTTTTGTTTTGGTCAGAACCTGGACAATTGCCTCCATCCTTAAGGTGTTAAAGTAATCAAATTCTTCTTAAACGATTCCAACTTAGCTGTCCCATTTATCCAATCTCTCTCCCTATCTGGTGTTTTTTCCTTAATAATTTCAACTTGTTAAATATGAGAAAAGGTCCCCAATTCCTGTCTCTTTGTAGTTTTGATCTCATTTCCACCTAAACACCTGTTTCCTATAGTGAACTGCACTTTACATCTAATAAGACCCCATGCAGTACACCCTCAGTCTTGAAATAATATTGAATAATATATGTGTGTTTAAATGCCGGCAGGCGGAGTATTGACCTGTCTGTTCCCACCAGTCTTCTGTGGGCATTGTGAACATTATTTACATGGAAGTGACAGCAAGCAGTGATTGTATGGCAATCCCCTGCTATAATTCATTAAATGCGCTTATTTTTGTGATTTACGGCAACGTGTTCAGAGGTGGGTCTGTCAAAAGATTCTGTGAACTAGAGCTTCCGTTCTGCCCATCTTTTTTACCTTGGTCAGATGGTACATGTTGGACAGCTGTTTTTTTTTGTTTTGTTTTTTTTTTTACATTTTTGCATTAAATCCATCTCCTCACTCCCGTCTTTCCTTGCCATGTCTGCCCTACACAGTATACAAAGGGAAAGGATGACACTGTTTTTTGATATCGTGTTAACTAATGAAAAAGATACAAAAACTTTTAACATGTACTTAACTGGTAAAAACAAAAAGTCGTGAAGGTTAACAGTGAGTGTGATCACTGCATGGTTTCACAAGGCTTCTTCGGATTGATTTAACAGATAAAGCTGGATCTTATCATATGTTACTGGCTGGTGATCCTATAAGTAGCATTACAACCTGTAGTAGTCCTTGCATTAGGTTACGTCCAACACCATTGATTATAGATGTAGAGGTGCGCGAAAACAAGCAGATAAAGCTTCTACTTTCACCTCTGGAAGTGCCATGTTATACCCACTTCCTCTATCAGATGCCGTCCGTCTCTGCTTTCTGTGAACAAGGCAGCGCTGAAAATATAACTTTTTTTCCCTTCATTTTAGTGTAATTTTCAAATAATACCGTAAAATGAGTTTTAGCCTGGAGTACCTCTTAAGCACCATGACTATCTCCCCCCACCACCTAAATAAATCGCTTGTAGCAAGGCAATCGATGACAGCCAAGACAATGGAGAGCAAAAAATGGGTTGCAAGAGTATTCTGAGAACGGACAGCAGCTAAAATAGCATGCCCTTCAGTGGGTCCCCGCTCAGAACTCAAGCTGGTTTTAGCTCATCTTGTGCCATTACAGAGAGAACATATCTGAAGCATATCAGACTGGTCCCACCCATACGGGCAGTCCAGATCCAAAATGCCAGCAAGTTCTCTCTGCACGAGAGATACAGCAACCCCAGACGATCGTTTCAGCCTTGTTAGGCAACATCAATAAGGCAAAGCTGATATCTCTCTAGGCTCCGTGAGCAAGGGTTCCACGTCTGGATTACCCTTTAAACTAATGGAGAGCAAAAAATGGGTCGCAAGAGTATTCTGAGAACGGACAGCAGCTAAAATAGCCTGTCCTTCGGTGGGTCCCCACTCAGAACTCAAGCTGGTTTTAGCTCATCTTGTGCCATTACAGAGAGAACATATTTGAAGCATATCAGACTGGTCCCACCCATACGGGCAGTCCAGATCTGAAATGCCAGCAAGTTCTCTCTGCACAGCAACCCCAGACGATTGTTTCAGCCTTGTTAGGCATCATCAGTGAGGCATAGCTGATATCTCTCTATGCACCTATTTTAGCTGCTGTCCGTTCTCAGAATACTCTTGCGACCCATTTTTTGCTCTCCACAGCCAACACAATGCTTCACTGAACACACCTTGTGGACATTACCTTCTCACTTGCATTTCACTTAGACTTCATAGTAGTCACCAGGCCTATAGGGCATGGGTCCTCAAACTCCGGCCCCCTAGATGTTGCTGAACTACAACTCCCATGATTCTTTGAATTACATAGGTAGCCAGAGAGTCATGGGAGTTGTAGTTCAGCAACATCTGGGGGGCCGGAGTTTGAGGACCCATGCTATAGGGGGTATCAATGAGCAACCCTGATGTATTTATTGAATGGGCTCGTTTGTTTTGTGCTAGCCAGTCAGGATGAACGTGCTAAGGATTAGTATTATCAGATTGGCTTAATTCACCCGCTGTCAAATAATGAGCAATTTAGTTTTTTTAATAGATCTTGCATGGAAGCAGGGTCATTGTTAGGATCCATAAACACCTGGAACTTGGGCCCAAAGCATAATTGATTACCGCCTACACTGAGAGAATGGTAGGGATATGTATTGACATGTTATGTTTCATCCTCTCTAACCATAACAACTGTGCTGCTGATGCTCACTGGGATCATAGCCAGAAACAAGCACATCACACACAGCCAGCTCTGTGTGATCCTCCCATTCTGTCTAACTAATAAAGGGGTGTGCGTCAATGTTCTGTTCCCCAGCACCCCCTCCCAACAGTCACCTGGGTGGCACCACTCCATAGGAGATAGGCAGATCACTATACTAGTGATCTTTCCATATATATTAGGAGGCTGCATTAAGAAGGAGTCACCTGTTTTAATATTTCAAAAAAAAAAAAAAAATTCCTAATAACTCCTATTGTTTCCTTCTGTCACTTTCCTTACAGATCCCATTGGAGCAGGGTGTGCGCTAGTTATGTACCAGGTAAATCCACAGATCCATGAATTGATTATAAATGGACATGGCTACACCTCTTTATCACGCTTACAAATAGGTAATGCCATTAAATGGCTTATCGTCCATCAAAAAAAAATAATTCATCATTCAATTTGGGAAATCTAACTGCAGTTTGTTTATTATTTTTTTGCATTTTCCGCAAAACATTAAAAAGTTGAGTTCACTGTAACTTTAAAGGTTACCTTGTTCATCCAGACCCAGCACAGCGGCAATCAAGTTATTTAGCAGTAGATGTCTGATAGACCCCTGAGTTTAAGAGAACTCTATGGGGTTTTTTTTTCATGAGATCAGCTACTTTAATCTTGACAAACATTTAAAGAATAATTATCCTTTCTCTCAGCATAACTCAGTCCTTAAGGACCACTCTAGGCACCCAGACCACTTCAGCTTAATGAAGTGGTCTGGGTGCCAGGTCCTTCTAGGGTTAACCCATTTTTTCATAAACATAGCAGTTTCAGAGAAACTGCTATGTTTATCAATGGGTTGAGCCTTCCCCCATTCCCTCTAGTGGCTGTCTCATTGACAGCCACTAGAGGCGCTTGCGTGCTTCTCACCGTGAATTTCACAGTGAGAGCACGGCAGCGTCCATAGGAAAGCATTGAGAATGCTTTCCTATGTGACCGGCTGAATGCGCGCGCAGCTCTTGCCGCGCGTGCGCATTCAGCCGACGGGGCGGATCGGAGGAGGAGAGGAGGCAGAGAGCTCTCCACCCAGCGCTGGAAAAAGGTAAGTTTAACCCCTTTTCCCCTTTCCAGAGCCGGGAGGGAGGGGGTCCCTGAGGGTGGGGGCACCCTCAGGGCACTATAGTGCCAGGAAAACAAGTATGTTTTCCTGGCACTATAGTGGTCCTTTAGTAAATAATATTTTGTATATATTTGGAGGAGTTGGCATTTGGACAGCTCCTGTGTAACTTTTACCTTCTCTGTGAGAAGAATATTCATTTTCTGCCACTAGGTGGCGGTCAGACACCAAAGATGTTTTCATGATTTTGTTCAACCCTTTTTTCTCATTTGATTTCTGAACAAGAAACATATTTTGGCAAAGCTTACCTGGCAACACTAAAAAGTGGTACAATGGTTAGGTACAGTCATTATTAGTGGAAGAATACTTAAAATCTATTTCTATGTGTTTTTTCAATCAATTTTAATCAGTTGTGTTCCCTTAAATCAGGCTATCCACACTCCGGCCCTCCAGATGTTGCTGAACTACAACTCCCATGATTCTCAGCCTATCTATTTTATTCATAGAATCATGGGAGTTGTAGTTCAGCAACATCTGGAGTAATAATTACCATAAAACGTGCCTGTAATCCAGCGCTCAGTCTCAGTTTTGCCTTACAATCCTAATAGCTTTTGTCCAAACCTATGCTCGTCTATGAGATGTATTAGAGTTATCCGGTGCATGATGACACCAGGCGGACACGAAGACATTGTAGACAGGAAGAATTGTTTCAAGTGGCCGTTCTCAGACAAATGTAAACATTATACCGCCAGAGAAAAAGCCCAGGGTTTATACACTACATTAAGGTTTTGTGGTTTAAGTAAACATTTTGCACATTTTGC